GGAGCGCCCGCCCCGCAGCCATTTTAGAGGCCGCGAGAAAGCGCCTCGCGGTGGGAAGGTGAGTGGGGGGCGCGGGGGTCTTGTGTCCCGGGAGCGGAGCGGAGCGGCTCAGGGAACGGCCCCGTCGTCGCGCGCGCCCTTGTCTGCTGTAACTGACACTGCGCGCGCGTTGTAACGCCGGGGCGGAGCGAGCGCGCGAGGCTCAGCCTATAAAAGGGCGGCGGCCGGTGCCGCTGGCTGGGGAGGGGTTTTCCGGCTCTGTGCCGTGATGTACGAGTACTGCCACGAGGTCTCTCCCCCTAGCTTTTCCCGCGGCCTGAGCTGGACCAAAGGGCGGGGGCTGCGGCTCTGCTGGGGAAGAAGGTGCGCGCATGTCCTTCCTCCTGCGTCCGTTCCCAGCCCGGCTCCTCTTCTCTTTCAGCGGGACCAGCCCTGGGCAGAGCCGGGGGGGTTAGAACCATCCTCCAAGTCCTTCCCCTGCATCAGGAAATGAGGGTTGGAAGAGACCCTGCGTTTCCCAGGCGCAGCCACATGCCCTCAGAAATGAAGGGTGTTTAGCAGTATTTTTTGGGGGAAAAATGTCGTGTGTTAGAAAACTAAATAAATGAAAATGTGTCATTTATATAAATTAGTTTCATGGACAGAACCAGTGGCGCCACGTAGGGGGTGCATGTGCACCCCCTGAGAGCGCTGGTGCACCCACTTATAGCAGCGCTCCCCACTTTGGCGACGGGCAGGAGGGGCAGGCAGGAGCGCTGGTGGCCCCCTGCCCCCAAGAGTGCTGGCCGGGGAGTGTGGGCGCCAGAAGTGCTCCTGGCACTTCTGGGTAGTGGCTCCCTCTTAGAGCCAGCTTAGAAGGAACCCTGTTTCCGAGTCGGTGCACATAACTGGCTGCAGGGGGGTCCCACTCCCAGGTTGGCGTGATCGCTGTGGTCACTGCTTGGCTGCTGGGGGTGGGGAAGTACCCCCCCCCAAACTCAGGAGGCACCACTCGCCCATGGACAGAACCCAAGCTGTGTCGTGTTGGTGCTCCGGTGTACGGATGTGAGGCGGTCACGCTATGCTCTAAGGACTGTACGGGATCAAAAACCCCCCATGTTAAGCAGAGTATTTGCAGAGTGTACAGGGTTTGAATGGGAAAAGGACGATGGATCAATATTTGAAAACACAAGATTCTGGTGTCTCCACGTGTACCTGCACTGATGAAGCTGAACATGAGCACAAGGAAGTGAAAAGGGTGAGCCAACGCTATTGTGAGAGTTGTTTGCATTATGGATTTTTGTTTACTGGTGAACTAACTTGACCTCTTCCACTGTGTCTCGTGTGCGGGGAGAAACTTTCAAACCATGCTGTGGTGCCAACTAAGTTGAAACAACATGTTTCAGCCAAACACCCGTCTCTTGCCAACAAGGAGGTGTCTGATAAAGCCCTGGAGGCAGGCTTCTTGGTTGCTGAGTTTGTTGCAGAGATAAAAAAGCCACTTACAATCGCAGAGTCTTTAATTTTACCAGCATGTAAAGAGATTTTGAAAGTAATGTTTGGCTCAGATGCAGACAATGAAATCACAAAGGTTCCACCTTCAGACAGTACGATAAGTCGCCACATTGTTGATATGTCTGCTGACCTTGAAACTGTTGTTTGAAAAAAAAAAAAAAAAACCCCCAGAAAATTTGCTTTGCAGCTTGACAAGTCTACAGAGATCAGTGGTTGTGCTTAGCTCTTGGCTAATGCCGGGTTCATTGACAGAGATGGTATAAAAGATTTTTTTTTTTATTTTTGCAAAGAGCTCCTAGGTAACACGAGTGGAGAGGAAATATTCAGGGTGACAGCAGCCTATCTGAAGGAGAGAAAACTGAAATGGAAAAACTGCCCGAGCGTCTGCCCATATGGGGCAACTTCTATGACAGGGAAAATGAAAGGGTTTTTAAACAAGGTCAAGCAAAAAAACCCCGATGTGCCGATTCCCTGGTGCAGGAAACAGTGGGTTAAGTGCTTGTGGCCAAAATATTGCTAAAAAAACTCTCCTCAGTGTTGGATGGATCAATAAAAATAGTGAACTTAATAAAAGCACAGCCCTTGAAAAGTCACCTTTTCTCATCGTTACATGAGGATATGGGAGGAGAACATCAGAGTTTGCTTTTGCACAGGGAAGCACACTGGCTTTCCCATGGAAAAGTTCCGTCACGTTTGTATCAGCTAAGAGAGAGAGTAAAAATCTTAACTTCGGACCAATCTGCATATGCAGATCTGATTGTTGATGTAGCATGTGTGCACAGCTCGCCTACATGGGTGACATATTCCAACACCTCAACGATTGGAACAGGAAAATGTAAGGAAGAAACGAAAACCTTCCCTGGCAAATTCTAAATATCCAACAAGCAGTGTTTTGACCAATGCAATTTCTCAGCATTTGAAAAGTCTTGAAGAGAAATGTAGTTTTTATTTCCCTTCAGTTCATATTGAAGATTTCAACTGGATCCATGGTCCTTGGATTTCATCTGCAATGGAAAGTGCTAAGCATATTTCAGTAACGGCTCAAGAGCAACTTAGTGTGTTAAGGATGGATCACAACTTTAAAATTAAATTTGGTGACATGCTGTTGGACTCATTCTGGTTGACTTTTGCAAACAAATATCTAATACTATCAGAACGTGGGATCTCAGTGTTGTTGCCATTTTTGACAGCGTACCTGTATGAGCCTGACTTGCATCAAAAACAAAGGGAGCATCTGAGACGGATGGAGCAAGTGCTCTGAGTTGTACTGTCATTTGTTCCTGCTGGTATAAAAAAAACTCTATACATTGAGACACCCAGATTTCACATTGAAAGTAAGTTTTCTTTAAATATTCAGAGGGTGCTGGGTGAGAGGGATTGTGTGCTGCGTAACATTTTTATTAATGTAAGTGTGCCCTGGGCTAGCAGAGGTTGGGAAACACTGATCTATGTAGTCCAACCCCCTGCTCAAAGCAGGACCGTCCCAGCCAAGGCTTTGTCTACCTGGGTCTTAAAAACCTCTAGGGATAGAGATTCCACAACGTTTCTGGGTAAGCTGTTCCAGTGCTTTACAACCCACCTTGTGAGACAGTTTTTCCTGATAACCAACCTAAATGTCCCTTGCTGCAACTTGAGACTATTGTTCCTTGCTCGATCTTCTGCCACCACTGAGAACAGTGTAGCTCCATCCTCTTTGGAACCATCCTTCAGGTAGTTGAAGGCTGCTTTCCAACCCTGTCTTCTACCATTTCTCCATAGTTTTATTCTATAATATTTTCTTCTCTGGCTCATCTCCGTTTTGGTCCTTCATCTGATTTTCGTGCCAAGAGATGAGAGAGTACTTCTGAGACTCCATTTTCCTAGGATGATGGGCAATGGACCTGCTTGGGACAAGGAATTAGGAAAATGGATGCATCAGCTCTCCTCGTTAGGTGGCTGAGTTAATAGGTGACTTGTGTTCTCACTGCTTAAGTGTGCCAAGGTAATATTTGGGATGTCTCTGTCACGATGAAGGACAAGAAGCTTTTTGAAAAGCAAATTTGCGCTTTACAAAAACTGACAGTCATCAGAAAAGTTCTGGAGACTCATTTCACCCAATACCAACTCATTCTGACTCAGTTTCCATATTTCTCATATTGTTCTTTGAATGAGTTTTATCCTGTTCCCCCTTGACTATGGGCTTTGCCACATTTCCTCACTTCCCACTCTCTGGGACCACCCTACCATCACTGCCCCTTCTTCACTTTGCTTTCTTAGGAGCCTCAGCTGTTTTCCAGATCACTTGGCTGTCTTTCATTTCCATTTCACTGTCTTTTTCTAGGTTGCTAACTTTTTCCTTTCTCATTGTTGGCCTTCCTCATTGTTGCCCCCTTTCTCCCACCAGGCCACACTCCCTTTTCCTGCAGGGCTGGGCCACACCCCTTTCCTCTAGCCAGGCCAGGTTGGGGCTGGGTCATGCCCCCTTCCCTCTGCAGGGTCAAGTTAGGGCCAGGCCAAACCCCCTTCCCCCACACAGCTGGACTGGGGCTGGGCTGCCCTACTCTTTGTGGCTGGATGGGGCCCCACTGCACCTGCCCTGGGCACCAGATTGGGTCCACTGGCTGGATCCCACACATGGAGGGACCAAGCACTGCCCATTTGGCCTTCTGAACAAAAAAGATGAGCCTAGAAACCTAGCTTTTCTACATCATGTAAATGGACTGTGGTAGCAGACAGGTTTGATTTCCAAATCTGGAAAACTTGCTGGGAAACAGAAGGCAAAGCTCAAGCAGGAATAGTTGACACCTAATCTGGAGACAATTTCTTGTCCATGTGAGCA